AAAGAAAGAAAGAAAGAAAGAAAGAAAGAAAGAAAGAAAGAAAGAAAAAGAAAAAAAGAAAGAAAAGAAAGAGAAAAAGAAAGGAAAGGAAGGAAGGAAGGAAGGGAGAAGAAAGAGAAAGAAAGAAAGAAAGAAAGAAAGAAAGAAAGAAAGAAAGAAAGAAAGAAAGAAAGAAAGAAAGAAAAGCCTAGGTACACGTTTTCCCCTGAACCTATACTAGCCTGGAATGTCCAAAATGTAGAACGAAAAGGCAACATAAACTAGCAACAGAAAACAAAACGAAAAGCAAACAAACCAGAAATATAACAGATCCCCCAAAACTAATTAGCAACAACCCGGCTTTTCATTTTTTCACAAGGCATGAAAACCACTGGGTGTGCGTCATCCTAAGCTGCAGGGTTCTTTGAAAGTACACTTCAAAGCCATGGGAAGGTGTGCTGAGAACAGTTTCATGGCACTGAATCAGCTTTTCTGATTGGTTGGTGACCAAGACCTTGGGCCTCTAATCCTTGATTTAGTGCTTGTTAGCTGGGCAACTCTGAGATAATTTTTTGATTGTGTCCTGACTCCATGTTCCCACCTGTAAAATGGGAGTAAAAATAGTCCCTTTTTATACGGTTGGTGGGAGGATTGGGAAATGTATGTAAAGCACTCAGAGCCACTCATCACAATGGCAGATACTTAATAAATGGTCACAGTCAACCACTTTATCATGACCGTATCTGCTTGATATGTCACAAAACTGCAGAATTTGTATTTTTTAAAACTTTCAGAGAAGTTTTACTATGGGATTGAGGCCTCTGAATACCTGTACCCACCCCACCCCCCTTCACCAGCCTCACCTTTGGGAAAGTAATCACAAATAAAACCAAGATAATGGAAGTGGTTTCAAAAAGTAACTATTATTTATGATACACATTTTTTAAATCATATCTCTCTTGGAGAGCATTTAGTGTTTCGTATAGGAAGTTGGGTCATCCCACACTGTCTTCTAAGGACTTGGTTAATCAATGTCTCTGCAGATCCCCTCACACAGGGCTGGGCACAGAGTTCTGGAAGATTCAGTCAATGAGGCTGCTCACCGCCTTCTCAGTGGTCAGCTCCATGGAAAAAGAAAGAAAAACCTGAAGTAAAGCTTCTCTTTAGTGATCACATCGCCTTGATGAAAGTTTGGCATTCATTAAATAGAACTCAGATTCTACTGTTGCTTCACACAAAAGAATCAAAATCTAAATTTGCTTGAGTGTTCTAGAACTCCTTTTTTTAAAATTTTTTTTTCAACGTTTACTTATTTTTGGGACAGAGAGCATGAACGGGGGAGGGGCAGAGAGAGAGGGAGACACAGAATCGGAAACAAGCTCCAGGCTCCGAGCCATCAGCCCAGAGCCTGACGCGGGGCTCAAACTCACGGACCGCGAAATCGTGACCTGGCTGAAGTCGGACGCTTAACCGACTGCGCCACCCAGGCGCCCCTGAGTGTTCTAGAACTCCTAACTCTCCTGAGGGCTGGCTGATTAGTCAGGCTGCTCCGGGAGTGTTAGAATGCACACAGTGTGAGATGACACCAAGCAACATGAGATTGGATACAGAATTGCTGAACCTTCTAGGAAATGAGAAGCTGCCTCTGCCATTATTCCATTTATCTGGGCACATACGCCTTGTGCGGGGCAGCGCCTCATAAAGGATTTTTTCTAAGTAGTCTCCACACCCAATGTGGGGCTTGAACTCACGACCCTGAGCTCAAGAGTTGCACATTCCACCAACTGAGCCAGTCAGGCACTCCTATAAAGGACTTTTAAAGTCTAGTTTGTCCCATAAAAAATGCGGCTATCGTATGGTTCAGCAGCTTAACAAAGCCCAGCAAAAGCGACTCCACCTATCAAGTCCCGTTTGATGAGGTGTCTTGATTTCAGGGAAATACACAGACAAGCAGCCCAGGTACCTCTTTCAGCAGAAGATACAAAGCCAGGACAAGCCCCCTGTTAGTGTCAGAAGGGTGAGAACCACGGAGGTTATGGAGACTATACTCCACTCTGAAAAACAAGAAACCTAGAGTGGACGTGGTTACGTACGACTCTCAGAACAATGTTCTCTCAGTGATTCACAAAGAATGTTTCTGAGTTCTTACAGGCACAGGCCATCTGTGGCCTGTGATCACGCCTCATGGAGCCAGTGGCAGAGCATGAGCAAGGTCAAATACAAATCAAGAATAACATGAAAGCACCCTACTTTTGTCCAATCGCTTCGGGGACCTCATGGAGCATATTTCATGCTGACTTAAGGTCAGAATTATCTGAAAAAACAAATGAATTAAGAAGTAATTGCCGGAAGCCAAGCTAGCCAACCAGCCTGATGGCAGGGCCCGGGCAGTGGATGGATAAGTGAAGCTTCTCATGCTCCCGCTTTTATGTAATTTGACCCTAGCGTTGGTCAGGGCAGCCCCCCTACCAATGAAAGTACCTGGGGAGTTGTCAGTTGGGGAATTGCCCACACCAGGCCCCCCGGGAAAAGAACCACTGGGGAAAGAAACTGTCCGCAGGGAAATTGTGCGGCCCCACATCCAGCCCTTGCCACCCCCTATAAAGACTTCTCTACCTAAAGGAAGGATGGGCCCATATATTTCCCAGCCAAGGAGGGGGCAAATGGGTTTGAAATCCCCACTCCGGCAACAAAGGAATGTATCTATGGATACAAGTTACTCCAACCCCTAGGCCCGCTTGGCCCCCAGGAGGCGTTCCAGATGATAACTGGACCTGGTGGGTTAAGGTACAGAATGGTTCATTAGTTCCTAGGCATACATTGTCCCTCATGAGCACATGAGGCGTGGGTTCCCAGGGCCCTCTTGGGTCCCTGCCGGCACCCCAGACCAAAGCGAATACCTTTGTTCCTTGTAGTGCAAATGGTTCAAAGGAACAATTAAGAAGTCATATCCCTATAAACGTTCCACTTGCAGTGTTGAGAGATAGATGACCTTTCATGAAAATAACAAAGCAAATGCTTTATAGACAAATGTAGATACATAATGAAAATAATATGAAGAAATTAATCAATAAGCAAAAGGGCACAAGGGAACATTACAAGAAAATACAGATATTGTTCCTTAATGGGTGATTACACAAAGGAATGTTTATAGAATTAGGTAATGCCGAGAAACATAGATGACGCAGCTACAAGGAAATTGCTAACAAACATAATGCCACATTTGCCACAATAAAGCGGCCAGTCTAACCCACTGCTGTTGTCTGTGTCCATTTGTTATTTTCTGTGACGCCGTTCATCCTTCGGGAACCCCTGGACCTGCTGGGGCTGGACCCCGGCAAGTAATGCCGCATGGGGTGTCTGGGTGGCTCAGTCGGTTAGGCGTCCGACTTCAGCCCAGGTCACGATCTCATGGTTCGTGAGTTCAAGCCCTGCGTCAGGCTCTGTGCTGACAGCTCAGAGCCTGGAGCCTGCTCAGATTCCGTGTCTCCCTCTCTGCCCCTCTCCTGCTCGTGCTCTGTCTCTCTCTCCCTCTCAAAAATAAACATTAAAAAATTTAAAAAAAAAAAAGTAGTGCCACAGACACCTAGGTACGGCGTGTCAAAATAGTCATGCCATAGGCACAAGAAACACAACCCTCCCCCCAAAGTAGGTCTGACTTGGTTTTCATAAAGCAAATAACATATCTGTGGGGCTGCCTATGACACGCAGACCCTTTTCAGAGAGCCAGGCAGCAACTCAGAAACTACCTGATCTCTATTCCTTCCACATCCTTGCAAATGCCAGTGTAAAAAGCTCGGCCGTGGCAATTCAGGAGCAGAGAAACCAAGGGGCCAAAGACACAGGCTTAATTCCATTAAGTGTTATACCTGCTCCTTGGAATAATGATCCAAGGGCTGACTATTTTCAAATTTTTCTGCCAAATATGTCCATCTGGATCTCCAAGGCAACGGAACTACCCTGAGAAATCGACTGTCATTGAGATAGTTTCCTCCCCAGAGGAGACCTGAGGGCACCAGGCTGGCCAGCTAAGAAGGTGGCTCCAATTTTGGGTGCCTGCCCAGCCAGACATCCAGGAAGACAAGGCCAGATTCTGTCCTTCGGAGATACTTCACCGGAACGCCAGCGGAGCCCAAGCCACGGCGGGTGTGACCTGAAAATGTCCCGTGTGGCCCAAAGCAAGTGTCTCAGCCGAGCTGGGGTCGTTTGCGAAATCAGCTCTGCCAAAGTGACTTTCCCCATCGGAAGTCTTCCAGAAACGCCTAAGCACACCTGCTCTGGTGGGAGGTGGGGAGGATCTTAACTCACTACTCCTCGGCCTTCAGGTGAGAAAAGGGTGAATTCTACAGCCGCAAAGCGGGGCACACATTTCTGGTATCCCCCAACGGCCCGACCCGGTGCCCTTCACCCGCAGCTGCGCCCACAGAACTCACCACAGTTGCTTTCCCTGTCCTGGAAGTAACATTCCATCGGGTTCTCCACCCACAGTGGAGAGCACACACAGAGCTTTGTGAACGGGGTCGCAGTGGCCGTGGCCGGAGGACTCCAGAAGGCAGTCTGCAAAGAGGGGTTGGTGGCTGAGGCTACCAGGGTGGGCAGGGGGTCCCGGCTCCCACCTCCTGTGGACTTTCACTAGCACAGGCCCTGCAGGGACGCATCTTGCTGACTTGAGAGCCTCTTACGGTACCGTGGGGGTGCCAGGGAGTCTCTCCCATCAGGAAGCAAACGAAAGCAAAGAAAAAGCCAATCTATACCAGGAAACAAAAGCCTTAAAAATGTAGCAGGGACGTAGTACCCTCTGGCCTAAGCAAGATAAATTCTAAGAATCCATCCAGTGAAGACAACTGAGATGTGCACAACAATTTACCTATGATTACAGCATTATTTAAAGTCAACCTTAAAGTCCGTGAGCACAGGACGGGTTGACCACATGCAGGATCAAGGACCACGCAGCCATAAATATCCTACTGAGGGAGAATCATAAAAAATCTGAGAAAATGGTCATTGTAGGGTTTGAGGTTTAAAAGCAGATTAAAAATATCTATCCAATTATCCTCATTGTGTCACAGGTTTCTGGAGATGGAAGAACTGGACGGAAATGTATCAGAATATTAACAAAAGTTAAGTTTGCAGAGAGGGGATTCTAGGCTCTAGAATCTAGAGGATAGTTTTAATTTTTTTTTTTTGTGCCTTTCTGGATATTCTAAATTTCCTACAACAGATAGATATTCCTTTCGTAGTTATTTAAACATTTTTTTCAACGTTTTTTATTTATTTTTTTGGGACAGAGAGAGACAGAGCATGAACGGGGGAGGGGCAGAGAAAGAGGGAGACACAGAATCGGAAACAGGCTCCAGGCTCCGAGCCATCAGCCCAGAGCCTGACGCGGGGCTCGAACTCACGGACCATGAGATCGTGACCTGGCTGAAGTCGGACGCTTAACCGACTGCGCCACCCAGGCGCCCCTCCTTTCGTAGTTAGAAAAAAGGGATTAAAAAAATTAAGTTAGTGCATGTCAGCACTGAGGACGTCAGCCACACACAGACACGTCTCTGACACAAGCTAAGTGTTACGACGTGACGTCATTATGTCCCTTGTAATGCTCACAGTCCTCGGCACCTGCTAGAGGACGGGTCACGTCCCACATCGTGAGGGAGTCATGTTCCTCCTAAGGTAACAGAGAACGTGAGCAGAGAACACGTTTGCACCCACACCCATAATTCAGGCTGGTGCTGGGACAGGGCAGAAGCCAGGGACTGTGACAAGGAGGTACAATGGAAGGCACGTAGCGTGTGCCCCCACTTCCAGGGGCGTATGGGACACCATCGTCACCCCACCCCGATGTCCAAGGTAAAAAACCATGTGAACACAGCTTTTCCGGCCCATAATGCTTCTCTGTCCTTAACACTGTTCTGACAGCTTAAGTACGACATTTCTGACAAAGACCATTGTCTAGAGTATAGTTTTAACGACTGACCCGTGAGCCCTTGCTCCTCAGAGACAGAGAGCAGTTGGCAGATGTGCTGGAGGAAACGCCCTGGAGAAATACGTGCAAAACAAGTCTCCGGACACCCACGAGCAAATGCTCGCACGCCACGCCGCTTTCGCTGCCAGCAAAACTTAGCCACGCCTGGCCAGTGTCATTCTTTTAGAATACTCCCCAGAGGAATCATCCTGTAGGGATATTCTTGGAGGAATTAGGTTTAATATTTAATTTGTAATTAGGAAGATAAGTTTTGGACTTTGTTCCCACACAGCCCAAAGAGACTATGGGACCTCACCGCTGTCCTGTCACACCGGAAACAGACCTTGCTTCTCCTCCAAGAAATCTGTTGCTTTAACCTCAACGGGCAGTTGTTCATGTTTCTGGGAGATTCTCGCTGCATTTATCTGACTGCATGTCTCGCCCAGCACCGCACAGTTCTGAACGGACAAGTATTTGCATCACGGGGACTCTGGAAAATGCACCTGCTGTGTCAACCCTCAAGACGGTGAAAAGCAAGAAATCCTCCTTCTCCTCGGGGAGCTGTCGATGCAGACCCCGCACCACGTCGGCAGCTTCGAGAACCATGGACGGCGGCCCGGTCTGTACAGAAAACACAGTCGCGGTGCTGCCGAGGAGGCAAGGAGAGAGGACAGCCAAGCGGTCAGGCAGTGACCGACGGGACACGTCCACGCCGGCCATGTGACCTGTGAGAAGGGGCACTGTCGCGGCTGCATCATCTGGCAGGGGCGTGGGGGCGCGTTTTGTGGGCCGAGGAATTGACCTGTTTGCATTTACAAATGAAGGCTCTTCAATGGCAGAGCCACGGGGTCACCTGATGACAGACCTTTACATAAGGAATGTGACAGGCATATGGGTGCAACAGACTCACCCATGCACAGGGTGACATCGTTATCTTTTCACGGAGGTAGAATTTACTTACCTTGAAAGTCACCTTCTAATGCGTATCACTCGTGGCTTCTGGTCTACCCCCTGCCACCATCTGACTCCAGAACACTGTCGTCACCTCAAGAAGAAAGGCTGCGCCCATTAAGAAGCCACTGTTGGGGCGCCTGGGTGGCTCCGTCGGTTGAGCTTTGGACTTCAGCTCAGGTCATGATCTCACACTCCGTGAGTTCGAGCCCTGCATCGGGCTCTGTGCTGACAGCTCGGAGCCTGGACCCTGCTTCAGATTCTGTGTCTCCCTCCCTCTCTGCCCTTCCCCTGCTTGGGCTCTGTCTCTTTCTCTCTTTCAAAAATAAACATTAAAAAAAAATCTAAGAAGTCATTCTTCATTCCCTCCTCTCTCCAGCCCCTGACAACCACTAATCTACTTTCTGTCTCTCTGGATTTGACTATTCATTCGCTATGAATGAAATACACGCGAGGCATTTTGTGTCTGGCTTCTTCCACTTTGCAGGATGTGTTCACGGTTTACCCAGGTTGTAGCATCGATCGGCACTTCTTTCCTACTGCCGAATGATAGTCTACCATATGGACAAACCTCATTTAATTCACGCATCCATCAACTGCTGACGTTCAGGTTGCACCCGCTCTGGCTGTATGAATAATGCCACCGTCCGTGTTCACGTGCAAGTTTCTGCGTGGACATACATTTACCTCATCTCTTGGGCACACAGGAGCGGAATTGCCAGGTCATATGGTAACTACATCCAGCGTTTTGAGGTACCGCTACACTATCTTCCACGGTGGCTGCACCATTTTCTATTCCCATCAGCAATGCGGAGGGTTCCACTCTTTCCACATAATCACCAACGCTTTGTTATGGTCGGTCTTTTGGATTACAGCTATCCTAGTGGGTGTGAAGTGATGTCTCAAAGGGGTGTTGACTCACATTTCCCGGTAAGTTCATGATGTTGAGCATCTTTTTATGTGCTTATCAGCCATTTGTATGTCTTCTTTGGAGAAATTTCTCTTCAAATCTGTATTAGTTTTCAAGGTTGCTGTAAAAAGTACCACAAACTGGGTGACTTACAATAGAAATCTATTCTCTTGCAGTTCTGGAGGCCAGAAGCTCAACATCAAGGTGTAGTCAGGGCCATCCTTTGTCTGAAGGTTCCGGGGGAGAGTATGTTCCAGGCCTTTCTCTCACTGCCGGTGCTGCTGGCAGTCAGCTTTCCATGCTCATAGATGCATCAATCCAATCTCCGCCTCTGTTATCACATGCTGACCTTCCCGTGTGTCTCTGTCTCTCTTCTTCTTTTTTTTTTTTTTAATTTTTTTTTAACGTTTACTTATTTTTGAGACAGAGAGAGACAGAGCATGAACGGGGGAGGGTCAGAGAGAGGGAGACACAGAATCCGAAACAGGCTCCAGGCTCTGAGCTGTCAGCACAGAGCCCGACGCGGGGCTCAAAGTCACGGACCATGAGATCATGACCTGAGCTGAAGTTGGCTGCCTAACCGACTGAGCCACCCAGGCGCCCCTCTGTCTCTCTTCTTATAAGGACTCAGTCACACTGGATTAAGGGCACCCTACAGCAATATGACATCTCAACTAATCCCATCTGCCACAACCCTATTTCCAAATACGGTCACACTCACAGGTCCCTTGGGGATAGGACATAAATGTGTCTTTTGAGAGGACCCAAAATCAACCTACACGTTTTTATCATGAAAGGCTGTTGGATTTCGTCAACTGCTTTTTTCTGTGCCTACTAAGATGATCATGTGGTTTTTGTCCTTTATTAATACGGTTTATTACATTTGTTGATTGACCCACCCTGCATGCCTGGGATAAATCCTGCTTGGCCATGGTGTCTACTTCTTTTAATATATTGCTGGATGTAGTTTCAAAGCACTTTGTAGAGGATTTCTGCTTCTATATTCATAAGGGACAATGATCTGTAGTTTTCTTGTAGTATCTTCATCTGGTTTTGATATCAGAGTAAACACTGGTCTGATAGAATGAGTTGAAAAGTGTTCTCTCCTCTTCTACTTTCTGGAAGAGTTCGTGGACTGGTTTGTAGAATTCACCAGGAAGCCATCACTCTGGGCTTTGTAGGAAGTTATTGATTACTGATTTACTCTCTTCACTTGCTATAGGTCTATTAAAAATTCTAATTTCTTCTTGAGTCCTTCGTTATAGTCATGTCTTTCTAGGATTTTGTCCATTTCATCCAGGTTAACTAATCTATTGACACACAACTGTTCATGGTATCATCTTTTTTATTTCTACGTGATTGTAGGAATATCGCCTTTTATTCCTGATTTTAGTAGTCTGAGTCCTCTCTCTTTTTTCTTAACCAATCTAGCTAAAGGTTTATCCATTTTGTTGATCCGCACACCTGCAGGACCAGCTTCACCAGGCCACTCTTCCTGGGGTCTGGGAAAGACAGCACACAGGGTCTCCGCCGGGAAGACGATCGAGGGAGCAAGGGCTGTACGAGAGCTTGAAGAGCTTCAAAGGATCCCTGGTGATTTCCTCACTTGCGTTTCAGGACCCGGACATATCTTTGCAAACAGGGCAGGGGTTGCTGTCTGAGAGCACGTCTTCCTTGTTGACAGTTTTCTTCCGGGAAGACAATCAGGGTACTTACACAGCCTCTGGGGCTAACACCGCACGCCCTGCCCCAGGCCTGGATGGGGAACACTGCCCAGGGCACGAGGCAGGTCGGGCCTCCCGTCCCCTCACCGGGGCTGCCTCCCTCGGCGCTTCCCAGCACCGAGGCCCTGTGTCCGGCAGGAAAACAAAAGTGAAGTGAGATTTGCTGCCACATCCAAGCCCCCTCGGTGAGTCTGGAGGCCGAGACCGTTTGGGTCAATGAAGTGCAGAGACAGCCACCAGGTGGCTCTGGCCGGGAGCTGAGGCCGCAGGGGCGTCCCGCCCTGGCTACCCGACAGGGGACCGCCCAGCTCAGTTAACCCAGGGGCAGAAGCCCGTGAGCACACCCGGCCGCACTTCCCCGGTGGCAGTGTCCGTGTCCGCGGTCCCCGGGCTGTCAGCCACTGGCAAGTGGAACGTGTAGACGCCCTCCACCAGATTGGTGGGCCGCACGGCTGCGGTGCGGTCAGAGGCACCAATGGCATCCTGCAAAATCACACGCTTCGTGAGCCCATGGTCAGTTCCCAATGACCGGTCTTCTGTCGGTCCCAGGAGGGATCACCCACGACTGCAAGATCATGCCCTGAGCTGATATATCAAGTCAGACGCTCAACCGACTGAGCCACCCAGGCGCCCAGGCATGTGCATGATGTGAAGGGGCAGGCTGGAGGGAAGAGGGGTGATGGGATAGCTGCAGATGGGGGTGGCCCTGCGCTCTCCCGCAGGAAAGACGGGGGACACGGAGAGCTCGCTCGGTGCTTCCCAAGCTGCGCTTAACCAACGGCTGTCCAGTCACTACTAAATCATTCGTTTTGTGCAACAGAGGGAAAACCTGTTGAAATCAGGGGGAAGCACCCTGAGGAGTTTTCTGGACCTTCTCTCCAAAGAGAGTTCTACAAGCATCTCCTCTTGGGCCTCCCCCCAGGATATCACATTCCCCTTCTCAAATGACCCAAGAGCCGGAGTAGATCATTTCTGCTCTGGAGGCTCGAGGCTCCAAAGAGCCAGAGCAGAATGCCAGCCCCCCCTGCTCTGCACTGGCTCAAAGAAGAGGGCGGTAACCAAAGGGGACGAGAGCCGTTACAGGCAGAAGATCCACCGTCTGGCTGACGAGTGTCGGTTCCAGAGGGACTCATTCGGTTCCTCCCCTGCGACCACTTGTTTGGTACGTTTCCAAGAGCAAACCTGTGTCTCTCAAGTCCCAACAATGGCAGGAATGAAGATGTGCCTACATTTATACCCTAGGAGGTGGAGGAATCTGACAGGGAGAAACGTCGGCAAGGAGCTGAAAACTTGGGTCTGGTTTGGTTAAGGACGAGTTCGCTGACCTTGGCCAAGTCCTCTGCCATCTCTGTGTGAAACGGGGACAGCGCCCTTTGACCTGCTGACCTATCCAGCAGGAAGTGAGGAAAAGGGAAGAATCCACTTGGACCCAAATAAGAACAGCGGGGACGCTGAGGAGTAGAATGACTGCCACGGGAGGACTCGGCTTCGAAGCACCCCCAGGCGATGATGCCCTTCCCCGTCCAAAGTCTGCAGTCTGCTCAGGGAAAACTCAGAAAGGACAGCTTTCATTTGAATCTGAAAGCAGCCCGCTGCCTCCAGCCCCCAGAGGAAACCTAGAAACATGAACAGCTTAGTGGGGAACACAGGAAGGGAGACGAGGTCATAACAGAAACGCCGCTACAGACTGAAGTGTGTTGCCTCCAAATGCCGATGCTGAAGCCCGAGCCCCCCAGTGTGACTGACCGTATTTGAAACGGGGCCCGCGAGGACATGGTTAAGGTTAAATGAGCTCCCGAGGGTGGGGCCCTGATTCCACGCGTTAAGGTCCTTATAAGAAGAGACACCACGACACAGCCCTCTCTCCCTCTCTGCCATGTGGGGACACGGGGAAAAGGCGGTCACCTGTGAGCCAAATGGAGAGCTCTCCCCACGTACCGAATCGCTCAGCACCTTAACCTTGGACTTGATGGGCTCCAGAACCGAGAGAAATGTCTCGTGTGGAAGCCACTTAATTCACCCATTCGTGGTATTTCCTTACAGCAGGCCAAGCGGACTAAATGCACGAAATGACACATGGGCCTGGGACAACCCGCTGAGCGCTCACCCCAGCTGGGCTCTGGCCGCCCCAGGTGGGACACAATCCCTTGAACCGTCCAAAGTAATGCGGTTATTGGGAAGCACAAGCACATGCCGGCCACCAGCCTGGGCTCTGGGAGGGCTATTATTTTCTAAGTCAAATACAACAAAAATGAAAGCAAAGAGATCGATTTAAAACACTGGTGGTAGAAACATGCCATAAAATACACAACTGTTCCACCTCGCAGCTGTGTAGATTTAAAATATCCAGGAGGCATTATTTTTCTTTTTTTTTTTTAATTTTTTTTTTCAACGTTTATTTATTTTTGGGACAGAGAGAGACAGAGCATGAACGGGGGAGGGGCAGAGAAAGAGGGAGACACAGAATCAGAAACAGGCTCCAGGCTCCGAGCCATCAGCCCAGAGCCCGACGCGGGGCTCGAACTCACGGAGCGCGAGATCGTGACCTGGCTGAAGTCGGACGCTTAACCGACTGCGCCACCCAGGCGCCCCAGGAGGCATTATTTTTCTACCCATTAGATAATAGACTTTTTATTTTATTTTATTTTTTACATTTATTTACTTTTGAGAGAGACAGAGAATGAGCAGGGGAGGGGCAGAGAGAAAGGGAGACACAGAATCCAAAGCAGGCTCCAGGCTCCACATGCTGTGAGCACAGAACCTGACGCAGTGCTCGAACTCATGGACCATGAGATCATGACCTGAGCTGAAGTCAGACACTTAACTGAGCCACCTAGGCGCCCCAGGATAACAGACTTTCTTAGAGCTCTGTTTATGCTCGGTTGTAATTTGGAGCCTCTATAATGGGAATGTGTCTAATACTGTTATGGTTCTTTTCTTTTTAAAAAAGAGAAATAATGACTTTAGTTATCAGGGTCCAGAAAATGAAAATATTTTAATTTAAAATATATTCTGAATCATTATGCACTGGTCCACACTATGTGGCCATAGAAACATCTACTCCTGCTACCGCCAAATCTTGCTTAAGTAAGTTAAAACTCGAGTCAAAAACTATTAGGTCTTGGGGCACCTGGGTGGCTCCATCAGTTGAGCGTCCGACTTCAGCTCAGGTCATGATCTCACGGTTCATGAGTTCGAGCCCCGCATCGGGCCCTGTGCTGACATCTCAGAGCCTGGAGCCTACTTCCAATTCTGTGTCTGTCCCTCTCCCCCTCATGCTCTGTCTCTCTTTCTCTCAAAAATAAATAAACGTAAAAAAAATAAACGTTAAAAAAAAAAAAAAACTGGGTCTTCACTCCTCCAACTGGGTGTTCGATGTACATGAACAACGTAAGAGCCATTTCTGGTATTATCGCCTCAGGAGAGAGGGGCCGGGGAGAGTTGGCAGTCTGGGGTGCGGGAGGGAGAACATAATATGACCCGGCCCCGCTTTGGGGGGTGAGGCTGCCATGGGGGAGATCCTGCTTGCTCAGGTGGGGCTCTGGAGCCCTACCGGCCCCTGGCAAACACCCCTCAAAACAAGTCCAGCTACGGACATGGGATGAGAATAGCCAGATGTTGATCCAAGGGAGTAATGAGCATCCCGTCAATCTGCCGCCGCTTTCCCCCTAAGACCCCAGAGGTCAGAGCAGAGGTGACAGTACCGCTGTCAACATTTCCACCCTATTCACCACGCTGCCTTTTGGGGAAAACGCGTGCCGGCGAGAACCTGTGCGCAGAAGGGGAGGCTGGAAACCCCAGAAACAGACCGGCAGCCGACAGAGGAAGCCCGAAACCCCTTCTGTGAAGAACGATGACTAGACCCTCTCTGGCTTCAAGACTGGACCTTAAGGCGGCCTCTTCCTTCCATGCTTCTGTCCCCGTGATCCCGATCTCCACTCAGGGGCACCTCTCTGGACACTCGGTCACCGCAGACCCGCTGCGGCTCTCCCAGGACTGGTGCCCCCACCCGTCCGTGTGCTGAAGTCACGGTTCCTCCATCACCTAGACACCCTCTTTTTTCCCTCTGGAACCGTCAAGGCATCAAGTCCTGAGAACTCGGGCCCTAAGAGGTCTTGCCAGTCTATCGTTTTTTTCTCCGCTCTCCCTGATTTTGGCCCCATCAGACTGGGGTTACCTTTTGGAAAAAGCCAACTCTCTCAGGTAAAATGACATGACGCTAGGGTTTGCTTTAAAAACTCCAACTAAATATATGCACAATGGAATACTACTCAGCGATCAAAAATGAAACCCTGCCATTTGCAACAACAAGTTCCATCCAGGAACTACAGGGTATTATGTTACATGAAATAAGTCAGCCAGAGAAAGGTAAATATCACAGGATTTCACTCATATGTGGAATCTAAGAAACACAACAGTTGAACATAGGGGAAGGGAAGGAAAAATAAAATAAAAACAGAAAGAGGGGCAAACCATAAGAGACTCTTAACTACAGAGAACAAACTGGGGGTTGCTGGAGGGCTGGGGGGTGTTGAGGGGATGGGTTAAATGGCTGATGGGCATTAAGGAGGGCACTTCCTAGGATGAGCACTGGGTGTCATTGTAAAGATGAATCACTGGGTTCTACTCCTGAAACCAAGGCTACACTGTATGTTAGCTAACTTGAATTCAAATAAAAAAATAAAATACTGCAACCAAAGTAAAAGAAAGTATGAACTGATAGATGACATAAGATGAGCAAACTGATGATGGCTGTTGAAGCTGGGTGATGGGACATAATCATCCACTGAGGCTATTTTCTCTACTTACATATATGGTTGAAAATGTCCACAATAAAACATTTGAAAAAATCCAAATCTACATCACTTTGCTGATAAAACTGCTTCAGCATCTTCCCCGCCAGCGGCAGATACGTCCCAGCTTCCTCAGGACGCGTGACACACACCAAGCTTCTTAGGTTGAGGCAGATGCTCAGCCACTCCCCAGGGCACCCAGGCCTGGCTGGTCTATAGTCCTGGACGTTTCCTATGCACCATGCTCTTTTACATCTCTGTACTTCCACACAGCATAATTGTCTGTCCTATCATCCATTCATCCATCCATCCACCCATCTATCCATTCATCAATCCATTGATACATTCATCCATCCATCTA